AGAGAGAGAGAGAGAGAGAGAGAGAGAGAGAGAGAGAGAGAGAGAGAGAGAGAGAGAAGGGGCATCCACAGTAACTCCAAACATGGGGAAGAGTGATAGGGAGGTAAGTTCATTGAATAGCAATATACTGAGTGCACTATCCAGGCCTCTCCGGGGATACTCGCACTAGGACCGTTTTCTTTTTTTGGACCAGGGCCATGCTAACTCAGCTCTGGACGTAATTGCGGTCAGCTACATCTAGAGTCGGCCGTTATTGCAGTCAGATGCATCTAGGAAAGTCCTAGTGCGAGTATCCCCACTTAGTCTCAACTTTTCTCTCAAGTAGCTGAATGTTAGAGCAGGGCAGATGAATACACGACAGACAAATGTCCTATATCCGAATAGAACGCCTGGTCATTATTGCTGCATGTGGACCACAACTTTCAGTCCAGATGCAGCAATAATGACCAGGTGTTCTATTCCGGCAAAGACGTCTAAACAAAACAAGCTGGCTAAACGACATCTCGAAGCGCTACAGCCTATAGCCGATACCTTCGAGACTATGTAGTAGTCGAATGACTTGCGAAAATGTGGAAAAGAACCAAAGGAAAAATAATGGAGTGGTCAGTGCTTTCCTCTTACTAAGTTTCTTTCGAAATTGGCGAGTGCATCTTCAGCCAGAAGGTGGAAAGATACATCCTGCTATTTTTGATTATTTTTCTCATCCAAAATTTGTGACACCTCAAGGCTGATGCATTTGTTTTGATACCTCAAGGCTACTGCCTATACTATTTTTAGAAACTTGGCACTATTTTTAGTACAACTGAACTCTACACTTTCTGAAGTTCGTTTTTTCTCTTTTACATTTTGACCTTCCTTTCTGTCCTGGAGGCCTATTCTATTTTTAGGCCTACTCTATTTTTAGAATAACGATGTTCTAGAGGGCGTGGCTGTCATGGTCTTCCTGAGGATGGGCTCAAGATTGCTGGTGCTCAAGGCCTTATGGTGCTATTCTTAGTACAACTGAACTCTTACACTTTTTTTCAAAACTATCTTCTCTTTGGTGTTTTCACTTTTCTTTCCTGGTAATAGGTTCAAGATTGCTGTGCTGGAGGCGTACGATCGACGGTGTGCGGAGGCTGTTGCTATCCTGGCAGGTTGTCATCGACGGCTTCAAGGACATGTGGATCAAGCGCGGGATGCGATTCGCGCAAAGCAAGGAGGACCCGGGCGGTTGGAAGATGGGGTGGTGGTCCCCGCCTCGCGGGGGGCGGCGGACGGGACCCTCTACCCCGTCAAGCTGACTCGTGGCGGAGTGGATGCTGAAGGCGAAGGCGACGAGGAGGGAGACGATCATGAGGTGCACTTTGAAACAGCTGGCGAGAGGCGGATCAGGGAAGCATGCCAGATGCTAGGAGATTACTTGAGGGAGAAGATTCGAGAGGGGGTTCCTGCGTTCGACGATAATGCGGCGGGAGTGGGAGGAGAAGAGGAAGGGACTGGCAATAGCTCCCTGTGGGTGCTGATCAATCGCGGAAGGAGTGGCGGAGAACAGGAAGAGGGGGGAGCTGTGGCCCGCGAGGTCAAGTTGAGGCTGGATGAAGGTTTCGAGAACATCCCGGAAGCAATCAAAGAAAGAGCGAAGGAAGCTCTGAGGCACCCCAGAGAATTTGTCAAGGCTATGGCGTCGATCACGCTAGGGGTCGCCGCAAGAGTCCATCGAGAGACAGAAAAGATTGATCTTCGGGCGGACGCAGAGAGGCTGAGGTGCGCTAGCCATCTGCTCAAGGTTGAGATGATGCGTGGTTCGTTTGACGACACGCTTCATTCACGATCGGGAAGGCAGAGAGAGAATCACCCACCCATACCTAGAGGTTAAAGAGGCGAGAGCACACACACAGGTTGAATGCTGTGTTTGTCAATACGTGTCACTCACTCACGCACGCACGCACTCACTCACGATGGGGAAAGGCAGACAATCGCCCACATAGGCATAACATTTTGGGGGGGAGGGGGGGGGGGGGGGGGGGGGGTAAAGTGGCATGGAAGACATAAAAACACCCACCTATACCTTGAGTATTGAATTTCGGTTAAAGAGGCAAGGAAGTCGCAGACAAGCAAGAAAGAGAGGCAAAGGCACAGACAAGTGTTGTTATTGAAGTCAACAAAGGGGAAAGCAACTGAAGCTGGACTGGCCTTGAGAAAGGCAATCGCGGGCCAACTGAAAAAGGCCAGTCCTTTGACTGTTAATGGTGGTGTGAAAAAAGAGGCAAGAAACTTTCTGCCATACACAAACAAGCTATAAAGCCAAGGGGAAAGCATCTGGACCTGAAATGGCCCTTTAGGAAAAAAAAGACAAAAAACAGTCAGTGGCCGTCGGATCATCGTCGATCCAACAGGCTAACTAAAAAAAAAGGCAGGCATCCTGGTTAGCAGGGCACAAAAAAGAATAGTAAAAATGGTGGAATAGTACAAATGGTGGTGTGGTTAAACAAGGCATGAGGGGCGCGGATGTGGGAGGGGTGTGGGTTATTAGAAAAACAAAGGAGAAAAAGAAGAGGCAAGGAGAGGGGAAGCCGACTACCTTTTACCCCCGAATTCAACGTACGGTCATTGTAGATGTATTTGAGGTATCTTTCAGTCTATATACAGCTTTAGTCTCCGTACATTGCATTTGAGGGAACAAGGTACACCTGAAATGACCCTTCAACCTGCTATATTTTTTATTTAATGAAGTGGCAATCAATCAACCAATCAATCAATTGTTGGTAATTTAGTTAAATTTACTATTTTGAACGAATTCCAGATCCATCACTTTGTCTGCTTGTGTCGCGGGCCCCTGTGAGAGGCCAAAACGTGACGCCGGCCACCAAGTTGTTTTATCGACGGCAGGCCGGCGCTGACTTTTTCGGACCAGGCGATGAAACATTTTCAGCAAGGCTGGGGCCTTGTACCGGCGGTTTAATGCACATTCTCTTAAGTCGTAGATGATGACGATTTGACAAGAAGGAGACATCAGATCTGGGCCGGGACAGCGATGGAGAGCTCCACTTTTGGCTTGTGGGTATACTTGCCAGGCAGGTACATTTCAAGAAGATCCTAGTGCAAGTCTTTAAGCTCGAAGACTCTTCATAGGACTCTCACCCAACTCTCGTTCGTTTGTCTGTCTGCCTGTGTGTCTGTGCGTGGCTCATTTGTTCGTTCTCTCCTCAATTGGCCTCTATGGGCCTTGCTCCACTATGCAACACTCTACATGCGTGTGGACGTCAAATGAAACAACCCATGCGCGTGGACGTCAAATGAACCAACCCATGCACGTGGACGTCGATTGAACCAACCCATGGAGTACTGAAGAAGTTGGCGGTTGAAATATGGGGAACAATGTGGAATGCGTACCAACGTCTACGGGTAAAATGGCTTGTGGCCTTTTTTTTAAACCACCAGTACCTTTCCTCGCTTGAAAATCATTTTTCTGCGCCGGGTTACGCGGGCCGAGTGGGATCGGGCTGCCATTGGTAACTTTCATCGGCGGCCCGTTTTCCATTTCGGGCCTGTTTTTCTCTGCCCGCGGGCGATATATGGGAAAGGTACTGGTAGTTTAAGCCTTTTATCTGTACTGTGCTGTACATGCCAGCGTGTGCTGCAGAGGTTGACATGAACCGGCGGATGAAATGAGATAAGGCGCTTGGGGCTGAAGAACTACTTCCGTAGCTTGCTGTGGCACAGCTAAGATGTTTGGGCTGATATATTTTTTCACGAGGATGCGATTTTGCCAGATTGCAGTGGATAGGATTGATGCTGCTCATGTGTTCACATATGTCTATGTCCTTTTTCCATCCCTTCCCTTTCTTTTTAATCATAATTTGGACCATTTCTGGATTTATGAGTGTCATCCTTGTGCAGGGGTCATGCAGAGTCCATCCCTCCCCTTCTTTGATTCGACCGGCGAGATATGTGCCGGTTCCCGTTTGCTGTCTATGTATTGCTGTCGATTGACGCATGAATAATATAATGTTAGTATCAGAGTATCAAATAATAATAAACTCGAGTAAAGTGAGTAGGCGGCTCGTGCTGCAAGGGTATGGCTGACTCTTCTTTGCTTTCCTTCTCTCGTTGTTTCTTGAACTCTTGCTTGCTGGTAATAA